CGCACGGAATGCTGTTACCTTCCCACTGAAGCGGTACCTATTTATCTACTTGCTCCGTGCTTAGAAGCGGGCAGCCCCCCCCCCATTCAGGGTTAAGTTGATGGGCCGACAAGAGGAAACCAGGCTGTTTGGGACCGACGAGAGGAAAGTCCTCCTTCAACCAGTGCTTTTTTAACTTATGGAACTCCCTGCCACAGGATGTAGTGACAACCGTTGGCTTAGATGGCTTTCGAAGACAAATGCACGGAGGGTAGGTCCACTGATGGCTATTTAACCGCGGGGGCTAAATCTGTCAATTTACCTGATTTATACCCTCCTTTCTCTCCAGTGAGGATCCAGAGGGGCCGACATTGGTCTGAACCTGGGTCTGCCAGAACCTGGGTCTGCCAGATACTAGGCTGACACTCTAACCCTGGGTTCACCCAAACCCACAGGCACTTTTCCTGGTACCGGCCAAGTTTTTTTTTAGAAAGTGGGCAGGGCTAGTTGGGGCTTTGGTCCGTAAGGGCTTCTGATTGGCCATGGGAGATCCAATTGGCTGCGCTTTGCCAGCAGCTGCCTATGAGTGAAGATCAGCGGTCGCCCCATCTCGTCAGACCTCGGAAGCAAGGTCTGCCCTGGTCGGCGTTTGGATGGTAGACCGCTGAGGAATACCTGCGGAGGCAGGCCATGGCGAACCACCCCTGAACGTCTCTTGCCTTAGGGTTCCCAACCCCCCCCCGGGGGGCGTAATTCCCCCCGGTTTCGAGCCTCGATTCCCGCTCCCGCGGAATCGGGGCCCGGGGGAAACCCCACCCCCGCGTGTGCGTCACCCGGAAGTGACGTCGCACGCTGGGGGCGGGGCCACGCCATTTGAGGGGAAAACGAAGAGTTTTCCCCTCAAATGGCGTGGCCTCGCCCCCAGCGTGTGACGTCACTTCCGGGTGATGCACACGCGGCGCGCGCGCACAAAGAGGACACCGTCCAGGAGCCCCCCGCTCCCGGACAATTTGGATGTGGCAACCCTATCTTGCCTCGAAAATCCTACAGGGTCGCCGTAAGTCAGCCGCGACTTGACGGCACAAACAGCCACCACAAAACCACAGATAGATCGCAGGGAAATATTTTAAAATATGTTCTTTGAAAAAGGCATCCTGTTGAACAGTGCGCCTGCCTGAATCGTTGGAGACTTACTATTGCAGTTATTCGTAACCTCGCTCCCTGAGATGTTGTGGTCTGCGCCACCTGTTATGGCAGCCATTTTGTGGTTGCCTCCACTTCCTGTGGCAGCCATTTTGTGGTTGCCTCCACTTCCTGTGGCAGCCATTTTGTGGTTGCCTCCACTTCCTGTGGCAGCCATTTTGTAGTTGCCTCCACTTCCTGTGGCAGCCATTTTGTGGTTGCCTCCACTTCCTGTGGCAGCAATTTTGTGGTTGCCTCCACTTCCTGTGGCAGCAATTTTGTGGTTGCCTCCACTTCCTGTGGCAGCAATTTTGTGGTTGCCTCCACTTCCTGTGGCAGCCATTTTGTGGTTGCCTCCACTTCCTGTGGCAGCCATTTTGTGGTTGCCTCCACTTCCTGTGGCAGCCATTTTGTAGTTGCCTCCACTTCCGGTGGCAGCCATTTTGCGGTTGCCCCCACCATCTGGGGTTAGAATGCCTAAGGTACCCCCAGCTGCAAAAAAACCCCAAACCTGGGGAATCCTGCTTCAACCACTCCACCATGTGGGAAACTCTGTCTTCAAAAGCAGTGTACTTCTTTCTTGTGTGTCCTGTCTGGGAGAGTGATGCTGTGTATTCTTGGTGCTTGGGGGGGGGCAAATGTGGGAGGGCTCCTGGAGTTGTGGTCCTGCAGGTGGACCTCCTGAGGGCCCCTGGGTTTTGGCCACTGTGTGACCCAGAGTGTTGGACTGGATGGGCCACTGGCCTGAGCTAACATGACTTCTCTTATGTTCTTAAGATCAGAGGTCCATGGGTGGCTCTTAGCTACAAGGTATAGGTGGAACACTCTGTCTGGGGCAATGCTCCATCTTTTTGGTGCTTGGGGGGCAAGAGTGGGAGGGGATTCTGGAATTCTGGCCCCGCTGGTGGACCTCCTGATGGCCCCTGGGTTTTGGCCACTGTGTGATACAGAGTGCTGGACTGGATGGGCCACTGGCCTGATCCAACATGGCTTCTCTTATGTTCGTATGTCTGGAGCAGTGATGCTCTGTATTATTGGGGGCAAGAGTGGGAGGGGGCTTCTTGAGTCCTGGCCCTGCTGGTGGACCTCCTGATGGCCCCTGGGTTTTGGCCACTGTGTGACACAGTGTTGGACTGGATGGCCATTGGCCTGATCCAACATGGCTTTTATGTTCTTAAGAGCACAGGTCCATGAGTGGCTCTTAGCCACAAGGTATATATAGGAACACTGTCTGGGGAAGGGATGCTCTGTCTTCTTGGTGCTTGGGGGGGGGGCAAGAGTGGGAGGGCTTCTGGAGTTCTGACCCTGCTGGTGGACCTTCTGGTGGTACCTGACTTTTGGCCATTGTGTGACACAGAGTGTTGGACTGGGTGGGCCACTGGCCTGATCCAACATTGGCTTCTCTTACAGTCTTATGTTCTGTTTGCAGGCTCCCTGGAGGCATTTATTTGACCGGGGTGGGAAACAAGATTTAGAAATTGTTGGGACTTGGGTCTGATTAGGCAGGGTTGCTCTTGTGTCATAAACCATTCCCCAAAATGCATACCCAACGGCTAACAATGCGATCCGGAAGGGCAAAAACAACAATTTGGCTTTGCTTTTCCACTTTGTTTTATTTAGACAGAAA